GCCCTAGGTTGAACTTTTGGGTTGAATTTGCATATTTAATTCAGGACATACATTTATCTTTTGGAGGTGTTTTCGATGGGTTATATCGATGATATTAAGTTGCTTTGACTTAGATTTGAGTAACTCGGAGGCCGATTCACGTGGTAAGGTCATTTTGGAGTACTGGTTTTCACCCTTTGAGGTAAGTAATATGTCTAAACTCGGTTTTAAGGGTACTTAACCCTGGAAACTATGTTATATGAGAGGTACGCGTATGCGTGCACCGACGTGTTCAAGATTAGAGGTGGATCTTAGGCTATCATGGGATGATTTTGCTATATTGCCTTGTTATATTTGTGTTTCCTAAACCTGTATGATGAGCTAGTTAGAAATCATGTCTAGACTAGGTGTTATTTGTTTGAGTCTTGATAGGACTATACTTGCCATTTTTGAGCTATTTGTCTTAATTGAACACATATTCTCAGTCATGATGCTACATCTGTTCCAATTTGATTCCTCACATGTTGTTGATGTCTCATATGTTTAACATTGTTGAAATTGAATATTGTGAGATATGGGTAATTAAGACCTGACCAGTTAAAGACTGAGCTTAGGCCACAGTGCCAATTTGGTATTGATTTTGAGGTGACGTGTACTCCAGCCTCATATCGGGCTAAGTGTTATTATTTTGGGGTGACGCATGCACCACGCCCAATTCTTTGGGGTATGTGATTATAATTAGCGCTTGTGTAGGATTTGCCCCTCCAAAGTATGACATACCAGCAGTGGGTGCAAGCACAGTGTTTTATATACGTGCTTGATGATGGGCAGTTATGCCAGTCACCCACACAACACTAAGTGTTGATGTGTAGTTATTCATAATAGTTTTACTATGATATTATTGTTTTGACAAGTAGGGATACAGATGTACCTTCCTCATGCTAGATGGTAAATAAAACGTCTTATTAGTGTTGGGCTTAAACTGCTATATTTGGAAAGCATGCCTAAATTTATTAAATGTGAACAAGCTGAACATAATATCATCCAATTACTTGCTTCTACTATTTCCTTCATATTCTAAACAGATATTGGTTATTGATATAGATATGTGACTGTTGTTTCTGAGCTTGTCAATACTTTCAGCCTAAGATTAGTATTGTTACTTATTGAGTGCATGGGGTAGGTTGTAATCGTACTAAACTATGCACATCGTGTGTCGATCCAGGTACTTCCGGACAAGGTGATCTCCAGAGTTCTGCTGCTACCAGCTTTTGGGAGACTACATAGTAGTTGCTACACCGTTCCCAAACCTTGGAGTTCTCTTTTAATATTGCTATTATTACTACTCTACTATTCAGATGGTTGTATTGAGAATTTGCCGTTGTAATTTTATACTCAGTAATGCCCATGTACTCGTTGATACCAGATCTTTGGGATGGTTATAGTAGTATTGTTTCTACTTTCTCAACTATTTTAGGATATTTCCACTTTTGAGTTTATTAAACCTTGTTTTACCAAATTAGTTGTTCTCATGTGACTGTTGGCTTGCCTAATAAGTAGTGTTAGGAACTGTCATGACCCCGGTGGGAGTTGGGTCGTGACAATTGGTATCAGAGTACTAGGTTGCTTAGGTCTCATGAGTCATGACCAAGTTTAGTAAAGTCTTACGGATCTGTACATAGACGTCTTTACTTATCTTGGAGAGGCTACCGATCTATTAGGAAACTTCACTTTCTTGCATTCTTATCATGCGGATTTGTTATTTCTGACGTTTGAACCTTGACTCTTCTATTCTCTCATAGATGGTGAGGACACGTGCACGAGCCTAGATCAGGTGGTTTTGATTCTAATTGCACCGGCTACCTCACATGCTGGGGGAGGTGCCTAGACTCTCACTGCCCGTAATCCAGAACAGCTAGCTCAGGGTCGTCAGACATCGAGGGTATTACAAGTTCAGTTGGTTGCTTCTGCTTGGGCCAAGGTTGGTCCATCTATGAATGATGAGGAGCAGGAAAGGTTGGAGCGATTTAGGAGGCTTAAACCTCCAAATCTCAATGAAGAGGAGTTGGAGAATTCTTAGGATTTTCTAGACCGGTGTCAGCAGATTCTTCACATTGCGGGTATTTTGGAGACCAGTGGAGTTGTATTTACTATTTTCAAGCTGACATGGGAAGCCTACAGATGGTGGAAGGATTATGAGTTGAGCAGTCCAGTTAGCACAGCACCACTTACATGGCATGAGTTCTCAGTTCTCTTCTTAGAGTAGTTTGTCCCACAGACTCGCAGAGAAAGGCTAAGTAGAGATTTTGATCATCCACGCTAGGGAGCTATGAGTGTGACTACGTATGAGATAAGATTCATGGATTTTTTCCTGTCATGCTATATGGTTGGTTTCCAATAAGAGACAGAGAGTTTCAATAGGTTCATTGATGGACTCAACTATTGATTGCATTACAGTTTGCCTTGAGATGTCGAGATGGATGCTAGGTTTGACCAGGTGGTCGAGATGTCTAGGCGCTTGGAGTAGGTTCGCAGGCTTGAGCATGAGGAGAGAGAGGTAAAGATGCCTCGTGGTTTAAGTGTTCTTAGTGATACCTCATTTGGAGGTCATTCACATCACAATAGAGGTCGTTCCTTATATACCCACTCAGATGGCTCGTCAGGTTCATCGTGGTTCATCTGCTAGCCACGGTTCATATAGCACTCGTCCAGTTCAATCATATTTCAGTGCTCTCCTAGCTCAGAGCTCCTACCATTCCCAATCAGTTTAGGGTTCACTAGTACCTAGTTCTTCAAGTGTTTATTCTACCTCTCGGGGTCCTATTTAGGCCCCACAATCATTTCCAATTAAAGGTTTCTACAATTGTGGAGAGTTGGGCATGCGAGGAAGTATTGACCCGTCATTACAAAGGTCTAGTGCAGCAAGGAGGCCATTCTATGACTACTGCAATAGTTGCTACACAACCCGCTCATCCAACTTGAGGTGGAGGTCATGCGGGTCGAGGCCGCCCCAGAGGGGGAGGTCGGTCAGGTTTTGTTCAGGCTCATTTTTATACATTTCCTATCAAACCATTAGAAGTTACTTCCAATGATGCGATCACATGTATTGTTTCAGTGCATCACAATGATGCTTCCGTATTATTTGACCCTGGTTCCACTTATTCATGTGTGTCATCATAATTTGCTCGTTACTTAGATATGCCTTGTGATTCCTTACTTATACATGTTCATATATCTATATCGGTGGATGATTCTATTATTGTGGACCGCATGTATCGATCGTGTGTGGTGACTATTGGGGGTTATGAGAACAGAGTTGATCTTTTAGTGCTTAGCATGGTTGATTGTGATGTAATTTTGGGCATGAAATTGTTGTCGCCATGTCACACTATTCTTGATTATCACGCTAAGACCATGACTTTAGTGATGCCGAGGTTAGAGTGGAGTATCTCCTTGGATTATGTTCCTAGTAGGGTGATTTCACATTTGAAGGCTCAACGGATGGTTGAGAAGGGACGTTTAGCATATTTGGCCTTCATGAGGGATGTTAGTGTTGATACTCCTACCGTTGAGTAAGTTCCAGTAGCGAGAGACTTCCCATATGTATTTCTAGCAAACCTGTCGGGCATGCCACCCGACAGGAACATTGATTTTAGTATTGACTTGGTACCGGGCACTTAGCCCATCTCTATTTCACCATACCACATGGAACCTATAGAGTTGAAGAAGTTGAAGGAACAATTGTAGAAATTACTTGATAAGGTCTTCATCAGTCCTAGTGTGTGACCTTGGGTCCATCAGTTATATTTGTGAGGAAGAAGGATGGTACTTTGAGGATGTGTATTGACTACAAGCAATTGACCAAAGTTACAATATGGAACAAGTACCCACTACTACACATTCATGACTTACTTGATCACCTTCAAAGTGCTAGAGTGTTCTCGAAGATTAATTTGAGGTCGGGATATCATTAGTTAAAGATCCGGGATTCAAACATTCTGAAGATGACATTTAGGACCCGCTATGGTCACTATGCGTTTAAAGTGATGTCTTTTGGGCTGACCAATGCCCCAACAACCTTTATGCACTTGATGAACATCGTGTTCCATCCATATCATGATTCCTTTATCATAGTATTCATTGATGATATATTGGTGTGCCCACGCAGCAAGGAAGATTATGAGCGATATCTGCGGATTATATTCCAGATACCAGATTAACATCAATACGCTAAATTATCTAAGTGTGAGCTTTGGCTTGATTCGGTGGTGTTCTTGGGGCACGTGGTGTCTAGAGAAGGGATTAAGGTGGATCCGAAGAAGATTTAGGCAATTCAGAGTTGGTATAGAGCGTCTTCAGTTACATAGATTCGGTGCTGTCACGTCCCAAACTCGGGGAGCACGATCGGAACTCAACCGAGTGAACCCAGCCGAGCAAGCCTATTAGATTTACTTCTACCAAAACTCATCCATGAATAAAGAGGAGATGCACTCCATAAATCAAACACTGCAAATATTTTATTAACAACTCCCATTTCATTCCATTAGCTACTTCATTCATAATTTTCAAAGTATTACAAGTTTATAGATATAATGTAAAACTTGTTTTCAAAATAGCAACATTTCTAGTTCAATTCCCAACATCATACACCACCCACAACCTGTCTACGGAGCCTCTAAATATGACAGAAGAAAGAATGGAAGTGCCAGCAAGAAGGCACCGGCTATACCTCAAGACACAAAGTGTAACATCAAGTGACATCTGTACCGAAATAGAACAGGGATCACCAAAACCTGCTAAATAGGGAGTAACTACTAACGAGGACCAAAGTTGCACCGCTGATGAATCACCTGCATCCATTGAAGATGCAGTGCCCCCGGCAAAAGGGACATTAGTACATATGGAATAGTACTAGTATGTAAAGCTAGCTGTCCTCTTTCAAAATAAAAACAATAAGTCACAATCTTGTTACCTTGAGAAATGGAAGAGTGTTAGAAGAAGTTCCAAAGAAAAAGAAGTATATGGCTAGTCTTGAAGGAGAATTAATTCCCAAGCTAGTTGAGGAGAATGAGAAAGACAAAAAAGGATCAGAGCCAGTAATTATGACAAGGCCACCACCTCCGTTTCCACAAAGACTGCAGAAGCAAAAAGATGATGCTAAGTACAAGAAATTCTTAGATATTTTGAGCCAAGTGCGTGTGAATTTGCCTTTGGTGGAAATTTTGCATGAAGTGCCTAAGTATGCAAGGTATCTCAGAGATATTGTGGCAAACAAGTGATGACATATAAAGTTTGAAACAGTTGCACTTACTGAAGAGTGCATTGCTAAAGTTGAGAGTAAACTTCCTCCTAAGTTGAAGGATCCTGGGAGCTTCACAATTCCTCTATCTCTTGGAAAACAAGAAGTTGGTAGATCCCTGGGTGATTTAGGGGCTAGTATAAATTTGATGCCATCCTTTTTGTTTAAGCAACTCGGATTGGGGGTGCTTAGACCTACTACAATTACTGTACAGTTAGCAGATAGGTCACTAGTTATGCCAGAAGGAATTATTGAGGATGTGTTAGTTCGAGTTGGAAAGTTTATTCTTCCTGCTGATTTTATTGTTCTTGATTATGAGGCAGATGAGGAAGTGCCCATTATTTTGGGGCGACCATTCTTAGCTACTGGTGGAGCGATTATTGATGTGAGGGAAGGGAAAACTCGAGGAGATAGACCGACACTCAACCGAGTGAACCCGGCCGAGCAACCCTATTAGATTTTCTTCTACCAAAACTCATCCATGAATAAAGAGGATATGCACTCCATAAAACAAACACTGAAAATATGTTATTAACAACTCCCATTTCATTCCATTAGCTACTTCATTCATAATTTCCAAGGTATTACAAGTTTATAGATATAATGCAAAATATGTTTGCCAAATAAAAATATTTCTAGTTCAATTTCCAACATCATACACCACCCACAACCTGTCTACGGAGCCTCTAAATATGACAGAAGAAAGTATGGAAGTGCCGGCAACAAGGCACCGGCTATACCTCAAGACACAAAGTGTAACATCAAGTGACATCGGGCCCGGAATAGAATAGGGCTCACCAAAATCTGCTGAATAGGGAGTAACTGATAACGAGGACCAAAGTTACACCGCTGATGAATCACTTGCATCCATTGAAGATGCAGCGCCTCCAGCAAAAAGGGACGTTAGTATATATGGAATAGTACTAGTATGTAAAGCTAACCATCATCTTTCAAAATAGAATACCAATGTTACAAGGGGATCAATAAAAACAACAAGTCATCAATGATATTCAAATACCAAGTGAAAACATAATAATTTCCAAAATATGAAGATAACAATGGAAGTGATAATCAAATTATGATGATAATATTATTTTTGGTTGGGAGATCTTTAGCACCGATATACCACTGTTCACAATACCAATGTTCATAATACTAGTGTTCACAATACTGATGTTCACAATACCAATGTTCATAATACCAGTGTTCACAATACCGATGTTCACAATACCAATGTTCATAATACCAGTGTTCACAATACCGATGTTCACAATACCAATATTTATAATACAGATGTTCAGAATACCAATGCCACTGTACTTTTAGCACGGAGTCCGATCACGACCCGATCGGATAGGCTATCTCATTAGAGAAATCAACCACAATTACTATCAATACCAATACCATCGTAATTTTAGCACGGAGTCCGATCACGATCTGATCGGCTAGGCTATATCACTAGAGAATCAACCACAATTACTATCAATACCAATATCACTGAAATTTTAGCACGGAGTCCGATCACGACCCGATCGGCTAGGTTATCTCATTAGAGAGTCAACCACAATTACTATCAATACCAATACCACCGTAATTTTAGCACGGAGTCCGATCACTACCCGATCGTCTAGGCTGTCTTATTTGAAAACATCAACCAAAATCTCAATATCAATTATAATTTCTAGCACAATCACCACCATGTGTGCGACATGGTGTCCGATCACGACCTGATCGGATAGGCTGTCTTATTCGAGACATCAACCCTTTTATATCAATCAATCTTATCCCAATTAAGAGTAATAATTTTATCACATCAATCTCATCCCAAATAAAGGAAATAATTCACAAAAATAACATAGGTGCAAATGTATTTACTTCATCATCTTCTATATTGTATAAATCTCCACTAGTAGTTTCAACCAATAACAACAATAATATTTCCTTCGCTCTTTTGGCCATTCACAAGATTCTTTATTCAAGGCACGGTGGCCATATTTGTTATTCCATACTTTTATTTCTTCCCTCTCATGTATCATAATCATAAATATCAACATACATATAATATTCCATAAATCATAACTTTAACTTTATTAGAAATGAACAATTTAGGCACCATAGATTTCTTTCCGAGAAATGGAGTAAAATGATTGGCAATTGATGCAAAAGTTAAAATCATCAACAAATAATACACCATTTATTCTTGACTCATTTCCCCCCACAAAGGGCAATACACAATTTCCACTCACGAATATGCAAGAACGCAAAACACATTGAAAATACTCACAAATCATAACGTCTATTAAAACAGCCACATATGAGCATGACTTGAGATTATAGGCTTTTAGGAAATTCTATTTTCGAAGTCAATTCGGAATAGTTAAATCAAGGCTCATTTCATAACCTTTCTCACATCATTTCGTTTCATTGGCTCCATTGGCCATAAGTATGACTTTCACTCATATCAATCATTGCATTTCATACTTCTTTCGCATCTTGTAATTCATTAGCACCATTGGCCACAAGTATAACTTTCACTTATATCAATTATTGCATTTCATACTTCTTTCACATCTTTATCGGTTATCAACAGTAAGACATTTCCAATCAAGTCTTTAAGTACACATATGAGCAATTAAGAGTCTTAATCATATTGAGTTTTATCACACAATTTGGAATCATAACCTTCATTTGAAACACAACTAAAAGATATAGCATTTAAATACACATATCATTCTTGAACACATTCCCAAAGGATAACATAATGTGTTTGGAACATTCGGAACACATTTTGAATACTTTATTCTCGACACTTTACTTATTCGGGACAATCAAATTTATTAGAAACAACTCGGAACATAGAACAAGGAACTTGAGACAACCATACTTGAAACTTATGAGAACATCATTGAATTCAATTCTAAGAGAGTAGTTTAGCCAACATACCTTGCTTTGAGCTTTCCTTAAATTACTACAATGTTCCGAAAATTCTAGCAATCCCAATATATTTTGAGACATAATAAAATTGAACCATTATTAGGAAGATATTAATGATCTTAGCTCATATGAGCATTTTATCAAGCACTAGGTGTGCAAATTTAACTACAAGGTTATCCTACAAGATTTCCTTCACTCCACAACCCAATATTTACTTATTTGAGCTCAACAATCTTCCCACAAACCTTATTAGTACAAGCATGTATAAATAATACTCTTACTCCCAAAAATCATACTCCCAAGAATCATACTCCCAATCACCCATCTTTTACCCCAAACTCGAAATTAAAGACTAAGGGTTTGAATTTTACCTCTTAGATGAAGATCTTATGAGATTTCCTTGTTGGATTTCAAAGCTTGGGCAAGAACTTGATGAAAAAACACTTCATCTACTTTATCTCTCTAGAACACTCTCACTTCTCTCTAAAAGCCCTTAGATAATTGCCCCGAAATAAACCCCAATGCCTATTTATCAATGGACCGCAGAATGGCTATGCGGGTCGTAAAATGGTCGCAAAATTGGTGCCTAGAACGGAGCTGTTCTGGTCCATTCTGCGACCAGTTTGCGGTCGCAGAAGCACTTTCGCGGCCGCATAATTATTCTGAGATCGCAGAATTGGTCGCAGAATTGTATTTTTCCAGCCTTTGGTAATTTGATCATAACTTCTTGTAGGAGTGTCCAAATAACAAACGGTTTAAAGCTTTAGAAACTAGACACATATACCTTACTGTTGATAGGTAATACATCATATAACTCTACTTATCAAGAGAGGTATGCTCGTTTGAAATTAAATTTTGTGCAAACTCACTTGAAACTTTATCCCATCATAAAATTTTCCACTTGACTTAGCCTTGGAGCTCTTCTTAGACCATAAACCATTCTTAATGCACATCAAACATATATTATCATGATCAATTGATATAATTCATATAATATTCCTTTTCTACACATAAAATAATATAATTAGCGCACATCAACTTTCTTAATAGCGCTTAAGTACTTCAAAAAATATTTTCGGGGTTTAACAGGTGCTTGTTGGGTTTGGGAGGTTATAATCGCTGTTTTGTGGAGGGTGTCTAGTCCATTGATGCACCTTTGACTAGATTGACCCAGAAGGGTGCTCCTTTCAGATGGTCCAACAAGTGTGAGGTGAGATTTCAGAAGCTCAAGAATGCATTGACTATAGTTTCAGTTTTAGAGTTGCCTATAAGTTTGGGGTCTTACACTGTGTATTATGATGCATCGCGTATTAGTCTTGGAGCGGCGTTGATGTCGGACGCTAGGGTGAGTTTTCAAGAGAAGAATTACCATGTGCATGACTTAGAGTTGGTAGCAAATGTTCAGGCACTGAAGATTTGGAGGCACTATCTGTACAACGTTCCATGTGAGGTTTATATCGACCATCGGAGTCTGCAGCACCTGTTCAAGTAGAAAGACCTTAATTTGCGGGAGCAGATATGGTTAGAGTTTCTAAAAGCCTATGATATCACCATATTATATCATCCCGGGATGGGGAATGTAGTGGCCGATGAATTGAGTGGGAAGGCTGAGAGTATGGGCAATTTGGCATATATTTCGGTAGCGAAGAGTCCACTAGCCTTTGATGCTTAGGTTTAGGCCAATTAGTTTGTGAGATTGGATGTTTCGGAGCCTAGCCGGGTCCTTACTTGCATTGTGGCTCAGTCATCGTTGTTGGAGCATATCAAGGCTCGCTAGTTTGATGATCCTCACTTGTTAGTGTTGAGGTACACGGTGTATCGGGGTGGTGCTAATGATGTTGTGATTGGTTATGATGGTGTTATGCGGCTTCAAGTCCGGATTTGTGTTCCCAATGTTGATGGATTGAGAGATTTGATCCTTTAGGAGGCTTACAGCTCGCGCTAGTCCATTCACCCACCTATCACAATAATGTACCATCACTTGAAACACCACTATTGGTGGCGTAAAATGAAGAAAGATATTGTTCCTTATGTCTCTCGATTTTTGAATTGTCAACAGGTGAAGTATGAGTATCAGAAATGGGGAGGGTTGACTCACAGATTGGAGATATCATAGTGGAAGTGGGAGGGAATCACTATGGATTTTGTGGTAGGCTTACCACGGACCTTGAAGAAATATTACACAGTATGAGGTATTATGGACCAGTTGACAAAGTCCGCACACTTTATTCCGGTGATGACTTTCTATTATTCAGAGGGAATGGATTAGATTTACATCCGGTAGATTATAAGCCTGCATGGCTTGCCCGTTTACATCAATTATGAATGAGGCACAGAGTTCACTTCACAGTTTTGGAGAGCATTGCAGCTAGAGTTGGGCACACGGGCAGAGTTGAGTATAACATTACGTACCCAGATGGACGGGCAGTCTAAGCGCACTATTCAAATCTTGGAGGACATGTTACGTGCCTGTGTTATGGATTTCAGAGGTTCATGGGATCAATTTCTACTGCTCATAAAGTTTCCTAAAACAACAACTTTCAATTGAGTTGTAACACTCTATGTCTTCGTACGTAAGAGTACGTCATAAGACAATTGATGTAAGATCATAAATGAGATAATTATTTAAAGTGTATAAATTAAGTTAATCATGTTACCTTAGAGTTTATAAATCTTTAAGATAATGAATAACAAGTACCAAGAGGGCTGGAAAGCTTAGAAGCTAAACGAAAAAAATGTTTCGTCGAAAGTCGATATGTTTTGAATGTTATAACATGCACTGTGGGTGAGCCTAGTGTTATTAACATGATAAGGAGGTTATGTTATGAGTTATTTTAGTCGTATGATAGTCGTGTGTTACGTTTTAAAGTCAAGCGACTCGTGGAACAAAAGTTGGCAAAGGTCATCACAAGTTACATTCATAATGTGCTGAACATTAGGTCAAATGTAGCAGAGCTTTTCTCCTAATATACTTGGAAATACATAATTATCCCCATATCTAATTTAATATATACGAGTCTATTTTCTAACGCATTAAACCGTTCGTCGATACGATATCGAAGTAGGGAGATATTTGCGTTTTTGCAAGACTGCGCAAGCAGCTCCCAATGGGACCCAGGTAGATGGTGGTCGACCTACTTCACTTTAAAAATGATTTGAACGACCTTCATTTATCAGTTTTCGACCCAACCTTGTCCCTACACTCCTCCTAACCCTCCTAAACAGATACCATAAGGGTTTGAAGTGATTCCAAAGTGATTACACCACATTTCAACATCAAAAGTTTGTACTAGTGAAGAACAACACCTCACTGAGGTTGTGTTGTCATTGAGGATAATTGTGGGCAGTGTTTGGAAGAAATTTCAAGTTTTTGCTAATGGATAAGGTGAGTGTAACAGCCTACTATTTGTGCTTAAGCTTGCTTGTATGTTGGTTAAGTTGTTAGGATGATAAACTACAAGATAATACTTGGATTAGCTTGAGATTTTAATGTTATTGCTGGATTGATTTGAAAGTTGCTATTATGGACATTAAGTGGCTGGAAATTAAGGAAAATAAGTTGGCTATGATATTTTCAGTATGATTATGTTGGTTTACATGTCAATATTGTTGAGAAAATTACTAACTAGAAAGGAAATGGCTATAAAGCACTTGGAAGTTGTCCATAATAATATTATCTTGTGTTAGGCTATTTCGCATAACTTTGAATTTGAGAACAAGGTTGGAAATCCTTTAAAAATGTATTGGTTATTATACTGGGTATATTACTAAATTCAAGAATGAATGATAACTGGGTTGAAGAGTGCTAAAGGGATTCAATCCGAGCTTGCCGCTCGTCGCGATATGTTGATGACTTGTTAATGAAATATTTTGTACCCTATTGTTGGTGTTTTTATTATTGTATTTATATGGTTGTTGTTCTTGGTATATGTTATTTGAGGGTGCCCTTGTTATAGGGGATATGCTATCCAAATGTTACATAAACGAGCTACTAGTTTAAGTGGCGGACTTAGCCTTTACTCAGCACTGATTTTGAATCTCCTTGTGCAATGGTAGATTGAGTTGAGTTGTTTGAAGAATTGATTGGAAGGTATTAAGAAATCAATGGAGTTAAGTCATGTTAAGGCTATCCATTCTTTCCTTTGGGCATGATCCATATTATACAAAAGAAACGAGCAAACACGGAACTTTTACAAATGACTCTATTCTTAGAAGTACTAGGGGTGCATATGTTCTTGATTCCCCATGTGTCCTATTACTATATTTTCTGTTCATGGGTCTCAGAAAATACGTAAGTTGATAAATTTTATTTCATGATATGAACCGAAGGCATATTGATTTTATGACATCCCGAGAGATCTTATTGACTTACTTCTTATGCATTACATTCATTTATACATGTACCTTGACCCATGAACACATGGCTTTATATACGCGTATATTATATTTATATGGGGTATGGGGAAATGGTATGGCGTTATATATGCACCACCACCTGATCAACCGGTATACGTTGATGATTTCGCCCATAGAGGCCGAGATGATATGATAGGATACCCTCAGAGGCTTGATGATATTATGTACGCATATACATATGCATGATATGACATTTATACGCATATGCATGACATTATAGATGTTTCATGATTCACTGAGCTATTCAGACTTACAGGTTGAATTGTTTACTCCATGTTTCTTTCATGTCTTCTATATAATGCTTTCCTGCCTTACATACTCGGTACTTTATATGTAATGACGTCCCTTTTTCCTGGGGATGCTGCGTTTCATGCCTACATGTCCCGATAGATAGGTGACATTCCTCCTAGTAGTCTATCAGCTCAGCGGAAGGTGTTGGTGCACTCCACTTGCTCCGGAGTTACCGATTTGGTTAGTATGCTTTGGACATATATAGATTGGTATGGCGGGGCCCTGTCCTAGCCTTTATGATGTTTATGTACTCTTAGAGTCTTGTAGATTATTTTCATGTAGATGGATGATTGTATGGCCTTGTCGGCCTATATTTTGAGTGTACAAATGATCATTTCGATCTTATAGGCCCGTAGGTCACATTTATAAGTTTTTATATCATATTGGGTCGTCTTATCTCGAGTATTCCCTTAGATTATTCTGGTTATCTCATGAGGTCCTTCTGGCCCATTTCCATGATGGTATGATAAGAAAAAATGCTACGTTGGTACTCGATTGAGTAAGGCACTAGGTGCTTGTTGTAGCCCTTGGTTTGGGTCGTGGCACTAGTATCCAGATGGCTCCTTATGAGGCCGTGTATGGGAGGAGATTTAATTATCTGGTCAGTTTGTTTGAGCATGGGGAGGCTAGATTGTTGGGCACTTATTTGATCTGTGATGCTATGGAGAAGTTTAAGGTGATTTAGGAGCGACTTTGTACAACTCAGTCTAGACAAAGAGTTATGCAGATAGGAAGGTACGAGATGTAGATTACATGGTGGGTGAGAAGGTTGTACTTAGCGATTCCCAATAAAGTGTGTGATGCAGTTCGGGAAGAAGTGTAAGTTGAGCCATCAGTATGTTGCCCCTTTTGAGGTGCTTGAGAGAGTGGGAGAGGTGGCCTACAAACTTGTCTTGCCACTATTCTATCGGGAGTTCAGTTAGTACTCTGTGTTTTGATGTTCTGGAAGTATTATGGTGATCCATCACATGTTTTGGACTTCATCACGGTGCAACTAGATGAGGATTTGACTTCTGATGTGGAGCCGGTGGCCATTTTGGGTTGGCGGGCTCGAAAGTTAAGGTAAAAAAATATCGCATCAGTGAAGGTGAAATGGAGAGTTTAGGCAGTCAAGGAGGCTAATTGGGAGACCGAGAATGAGATGCAGACCAGATATCCTCACCTTTTTTAGACTCCATGTATGATTCTAGACCCGTTCGAGGAGGAATGTTTATTTAAGAGGGGGAGAATGTAACGACCCGGACAATCATTTTTTGTATTTCAGCCATGTTACACTATTTATTGACTATTTTGTGTTCATTTGTTGTTAGGTTACTTAAGGAGGTGGTTGTATTGGTTTTGGGGATGTTTCGGAATGAATTAAGACACTTAGTCTGAGGTTAAAATCTTAAGTCGAAAGAGTTGACCATCATTTGACTTCTTTGTAGACGATTTCAGAATTGTATTTTTAATGTTTCAATAGCTTCGTAGGGTGATTTTGGACTTAGGTGCATATCCGGATGTTGATTTGGAGATCCATAGGTTGATTTCGTGTTTTTTGGCGAAAGCAAGAAAGTTGAAGGTTTGGAAGGTTGAGAGGTTTGACCGGAAGTTGACTTTGGGATTGGAGTTTTCGTTTTGGGAGTTGGAATAGGTCCGTTGGGTCATTTGGTACTTGCATGAAATATTTGAGGTCATTCAGAGTTGATTTGGCATGGTTCGACATGAGTTTTGGAAGTTGAAATTTCATTCATTTCATTAGGCTTGAATTGGAGTGCGATTCTAGGTTTTCATGTTGTTTGATGTGATTTCGGCTTCAAGTAAGTTCATAGCATGTTTTAAGACTTGTTGGTATATTTGGATGGGGTCCAAGGGGCCTCGGGTGTCACTCAGATGAGTTACAAATCATGTTCTGGATTTGGAGGAATGGCTAAAGGATTATAGGTTCTGGTGCAATCACACATGCGAGGGGTTGGCTGCAGGTGCGAGGCTGCAGAAGCGTCTTGGTGATCATAGATGCAAGCACGGCAGAAGCTAGGTAAGACAACAAGTGCCAGGGTATTTCCGCATCTACGAGATCGCAAATACGAGCATATGAGCGCAGCAGCGAAGGGGGAGGCTACAGAGAAAGTCTGCAGATGTGGGGATCGAGGCACAGGTGCGTATGCACAGATGTGCAAAGGATACCATAGAATAAAAATGTTGTTGGGATGTCGGGGATCGCATATGCGTAATGAGTTCGCAGATACGGTGGAATGTCTGCGAAAGCAGATGGTCAGGCACTTGGAGGGAGCGACAGATGCGGCCACGTTTCTGCTAAAACGGGACCACATATGTTGTTAAGTTAGTCGCAAGTGCGAGAATCGTTGGGCAGAAGGTTTTAAACGAGGGTTTGGTGATTTGGGGCTACGTTATTGGAGAGTGAGATTT